TGGAACTCTTCCATTCGTCCTTTCAATAGACCTTTGAAGTGATAGGACTTGTGCGACTTCGAATAACTACCGTTGGCGAGTCTCACTACCATAGGAGTCAAAACAGACATAATTCCAGACTGTTCCAAGTGACGTGCCACCGCCGTGCCGATCAACGTGACTACGGCACCTGTATCTATTAGCGCGGCGAACTCTCGCCCTGCTATCGTCACCGATACGTGCGGTCGTCTGTCGTTAGTCTGAATCTGAGCGTTCTCGGTTTCCGGGAATTTCTTAATTTTCTCTAACCAAGCGCACCAGTCCGGGGAGGTCTTCGTAGAAGGCACTACTGAGGATTCAGTTGACCTCATTTGGTAATTTTCTCGACACCGACAATCATGGGTTCGGATACCCATCTTTTTACAATAGAAACACTTTAGAGTTCTTGGCATACGGCAGTCACGAAACATGTGGCCTTTCTTGTCACAGTTCCAACATGTGAGATATGATTTATCTCTCATGTTATTCGGCCATCGCGAAACTGCATTGTTTTCTCGGGGTGAACCTCCGCGCTCACGCTCCGAGTTACGTCGTGGTTTTGTAGATGACGAAGTCCTCGTAAAATTACCCGTCCGGGGGTTCGGAGAGTGTTCTCGTGACCTACGTGGTCTTGCCTCTGACCGGAAGCCTACGCGCTTCTCGGTTAATCGTCCCGTCACGCCGTTTGATGACTGACACTCGCCAATCGTCGAAACTCCGAAATGATCTCCTGATTTATTATCGCGTCCTCGTCTCGGGTGATAAGCCGTTTCGGGGACCAACGCTGCCAAAGGAGGGGGAGGGGGACGGAAAAGAGATTTTTCCCTAAAATAGCTCTCAACGTGTTCCGCTTGTCTGAGCATTTCGTCGACCGAGAAAAAATCGTGTCTCCTCATCGTCAACTTATATTCGGGTCTCATATTCGTATACAAAATATTCAATTGTTCGTGGAGACTGAGGGTTCCCTTGCGTCGCAAGAGAGTAGTTAAAGCCACAACAAAGTTTCTAAAAGCTTCGTTGTCACCTTGAGTCCGACGCCGAATTTCTTCGTCTAGATTTCGCTGGTATCCCGGTGGTAGGAATTGTAGTTCGAAACTCGATCTAAATGACTCATAATTATGCCAGGAGTCTTTATAGTTTCGATACCACAACAGTGCATTACTATGTAGTAGTTCGGGGAGTGCTCGTATAATATCGTTCTTATTAATTTCGTAGGCCTCCATAAGCTCTTCCAGGCGTTCCAAGAAAGAAACGGGGTCCTTTGAGCCGTCAAAACGAACGTTCCACTTTCGAACTAAATTACACAACGCCGAGACATCAACACCAACCTTACGAATTACGTTCGAATTTTCGTGACACGAAGGCAAACCACTACTGAATCCGTGATTCACGCTTGCCTGTGTAGCAATACCTAGTTGTTCGCTCGCGAACCCACCGTACGGTCGCTGACCGGTACCGGGCACCGTAGTTCGATGAATCGAATCTGTAGAGTGGGAGGTGTCGAAAGCATAGTTAACACTTGGTCTGGTTAGTGTACTATACACTTACCCCTCGGAATTTGTAAAACGATCTGATTGTGTCATATTGACTGGATAATTACTAGCCTGATTGTTGGCCTGATTGTTATCAGCGCGCATTGTTAGGCTTGATAACGAACGACAAACGTCCTCAAAGTTGGTTCCTGGAGGCAAACCAACTATCTCCCGTACTCTGTCGAGTTCAGCACTTCGTATGTCACTGTTACCCGGTCGCGAGTCGACATATCCCATGTCATAGCCGAGTGGAAGTGCAGTCGCACCGTCCACGCTATCATTCACGTCCTTACCGTACACTGCCCGGGGAATGCCATGTTTCCAAAATTTACAAAACGACTTGCGAAGTTCGTCGACTGTCCCCATATTAGGCAAACCGTATCGACTCATTTCGTAACGAAGTTCATCCTTGGTTAACGTGTGAATCCACCCAATTCGCGTGTCATCCTCTGAGGGACTCTTAGACGTCAACGTACGATCAGTCGTAGTAAGTAAATTTAAAGTCGTTGGTACCATTAACTGTGACGTAGTTGTACCTACTTGAGGCTGAGTAGCCTCTGCGGTCGTAGTGGGAAAACTTAAAGTCGATGGCACAGTTGGTTGTGAAATAGTTTGTGCTACTTGAGCTTGTAAAGAACCTGCAGTCGTAGTCGTGGTTGTCGTGGTCGATTCAGTCACTGCTTTGACCGTTTTAGGCGTAGTTTTCGCGCTAACACTCAATCCTACCATTTTCGCTTTTTCTTATATTCCAAAGAAAAACCACTACGGTATCGATTTTACCGTTCGGGCGCCAATACGTGAAGCACGTATGAATATTACGATAATAACGAAACTTTCAATGTCCCTGTTCGGAGGCGCCACTTTGTGAGGTGTTTATGTCGGGTAGGGCACCTATCGTAAACTTACCTCCGATTTGCTCGGACAGCTCGAGTAGTCCAGGGTCTCGCTGACAGTCCTCGTCGCTCGCTTACCACTTCTAGATCTTCGTAGATGTTAATGTCGCGCCGATCTGCTAGTACACAAGTACACACTGTGTACCTCGGCACGTCGACGCACCGTACACGAGTTGCTATTAAGGAATACACTAACTATGGTTACTCCTATAACTTGGTGTCAGCACAGCGACGCGCTGACAAGGCCAAGTCTAAGCTAACTACTAGGGCTGATAGCTAACTAGGTGAAGATTAGAAAATAAAATAAATACCCAGCTCCTAGGCTTAACAAAAGGTCTCACTTCTCAAAATAAAACTAAAAATAATCTTCTCGGAATTAAGAAAAACTACGCTAACTCGCGATAAGTAAATAATGAAATAAAATTAAAACGTAGAAGGCGCATACACCAATTCTTCTTGGCTTTAAGGAAAATAAATAAAAACTCTTGATTACAATAAAACAAAACCACTTTGGATGACTAAAAGTCGGCGTATGTGACTGCGACACTACACTCGCAGCGTCGGTCGATAAACTACGTTATTCTATAATAAACTACGATAAACGTCCTAGAATAGCCTAATAAATAACGCAATTTCCCTCGCCAAAGTGGATACGGGGATGAATACAACGTATACGCTAGCTATATACAGTGTACTTACGTAACACGACACTTCCAGATTTGCATCCGGGTTACTCTCGCCTTCGTCCGGATACCTTATTATTTGGTTCGCTCGCACGGCCTAAGGAGGGTTGGTTGGTGTGCGCGAACCTAACGCTCGACGCCGACTGTCTCAAGAACTGTCCACTGTCCGCTGGTCTCGGCTTCTCCCCACCACGTCTACGGCAGCGCTTCAAGGTGACAGCGGCCGAGTCTCGAACTAGGAGACATGACCAGCTGCAGTGGACATGTGTGACATTGTTGTCAAGCGCGCTCAAGCCTTCGCGGCCTTTAAATAATTAAAACGAACCCCCCAATAAAATGTGACCATTACAATATGTAGACTACATTATAACTCATAAAATAGTTCTACAATTAAATGGATCTCCTTTTACAAACGTATATAATAACCAGAAATTTTCAAATCGTCCTTGCGGGTATTTTATGCCACAAATTTTGACGAAAGGCTATACCTATTTACAGTGTTGACCAAACAGTTGGCAAGAAGCATTAATAGATAAGCTATGTACCAAATATGATAATTTTAGCTCTATTCTAATTATGACAAAACACGAAGTAACTAAAAGCGAGTTTTGTTGGTGTAGTAAGCGTTCGCAGGAGGTCTACTTTACACTGAATCGACGTTCACTTTTATTGCTTTTGATCCTCCGGCACTGTTGACTCAGCGAAACTGAACTTGTATTTTACCGTATTTCGTTATATTAAAACTGCTGTTGCATTAGGTCAAATTCCCAATAAGTCAATTGCTTTAACATAGACCACGTTTTTAGCTCGGACTGTATTATTTGACTTACTGGGACTTTTGATCTACTGACACTGCAAACATTGTAGTTTTTGACCTAGCGGCACAGGTATAAATTATTTGATCTTCCGGGACTGTTGACTTCCAGCAACATTCCCGTTTGGATCATGGTTTTTACCAAAACAATGGTTAAGCAAAGAAATAAAGAAAAGTTTTTAAGTCCATGCAAGTAGCCTATTGTACAATTTATTTGCTTTCAACAAACGTTGCAGAAAAAAATTCCATTGCTGGTAACCCAAAACACAAGGCATCTTGAATCCATTAAATACCGTACTCACCTTTCTTGATATTTGAAGAAAAAGTAACTTATTAGCCACTTTCCCATCTATAAAATTTGATGGGCTAATTTACTATTTACAGCTTGAGAATCAGTCCTTGACTCAGGAATGACTGTGCATTTGATTGAGAGCAATGGCTAAACATGTGAGTAGTTTTATGATCGGGCGACTAATTAACTATACGTGACCAAATAAACATTTCCTACAATTTTGGTGCAACACTAACTTTTATGATGCATCAAATGGAACCCTAAGGTCATATCATAGAAAGTAGCTTAAAACAGTAAAAACTACTACAGTAGTTAACCTTGATAAGAAGACCCTCGATAACAAGTCACCCTTGATAACAAGTGTCATTTTCAAATCCCCTTGAATTTATTTTACCCCAAATATCATGTTATTGCAAACCTCAATAAGGAGTCAACCTTGATAACAAGTCTCATTTAATAATCCCCTTGAGAGTCTTGTTATCAAGGTTCTGCTGTACGTAGTACCATAACAGTTGCAACTATCATAAAAATCCGTAGAGCTGTTTAAACTTAAATTGGAATTAAAAACTGCCTTTCAAGTGTCGTTCACAGTAATGTGCCGTCGAGCATTGGGCACGCAAAAGACAGACTCAATTTCAGATGACATCAGTTTTGGCTATTGGATACGAAAGGCGAAATGAATATCATGCCACTCCAAGCATTTTACAGAGAATAGTTGAATTTTATTCATATATAGGTGTTGTCCTATTTAATACTTTTCCGTTCAAGCTGATCCTGATGCCAAGAATGCAGCTACCAAGTCTGGTGAAGAAGCTAAGCTCACAGCATCGACCTTTCTATTGCTACCTCGTGATGAGCTTATGGCTGTTTCTACTTCTAGTTGGTAAGGTCATGCTTATATCTGTATAGCCTAATTCTTAAAACCTTGTGAATCCTGGAGTGTGGACTGATAAATATGTTTGAACATCGGTAACTGTAAATTAGGCCTAAAAGCTATTATAATGATTGTTGAATAACATTTTGGTTGTCAATAGACCATCTACTTTGGTCTATTGTATTCCAAATTACTTTAGTTTCCATGTTTGTATTTTATATAGTTGTCTGATTGACAAATGAATATGTATCAAACCTCCAAAGTAAAATCATCGTCTACTGTAAAAGCACTAAAAACATTAGTAGGTAGTTAAGGTTAATAAAATTAACTACAGTAGTATATTTTTTCAAAAACTAGGAACCTACTTCAAACATATATTAGAGTAGGCAACATTCTAACTTGACGTCATTTTATATCCTACTTGATTGGTGGATGGTGGATCTAAGTTCAAGGTCGGCTTTTAATTCACTGGGTCAAAACATCATCACAAAGCAAATTGCATTAGGAGAATGGCGAGATCTAAGTCTGAACTCAAGCCCTTACAAACTACTGGACCAGCCAATACCTTCTCTGTTTATCATTGAGTACATACTCGTATAAGAGAGGTCAGATAATGCTAATAGTTGTTACCGATTTTGGCAACGTAGTTCGGGCCTTATCGCTGTATGTACAGTAACTAAGGAAGATCGCAATGATATAGATATGCCAAAGATCTCGGCCTGTGATGATGATCATCACGGTAGCATTACAATAAACTTATATTTTAAGATTAAGGGATTCTAAAGGCTAAAAAAAGAATAACGATAATTTTACGTTGATGTATGACTATCCAAAAAATAATCATCCGAAAACCCCTATATCCCAATTGTTTTGAATAATATACACTCTACTGTAAATGAAATTTTGCATCTTTTCATTGATTCCAGGTGACCAAAAGTGTAACCTATGTTGTTATCAGTTATTAATTAAGTTTTCACTGTTTTCAGTTATGTACAAGTATATGGAGACTCAAGATGTTACATTAACCGTGTTGAAGAATTCCGTCAATGATCAAACTACGAGGAGTTTCCCCAGCAATCCTCACCCTGACATCAAGACACAGAGAGTGTTGCGAATGTGCAATCTGCCACAAGAAATACGGACTGTCAGTGAAGGTAATAGAGTCCCTGACTCTTAAAAACAAATATCATACTAAACCAGTTCTCGATTTGAGAGAAATGCAATGGAACCAAATTTCGACACCTCTCTCTCTCTCTCTTCCTCTAGAGAAAATGTTGATTTAAGTTACCAGCCATTTTTAAGAGAACATTTCATTTCCAAACATTACTGAAGATTCATATTGTTTAACAGTTATTATTTTTTTTCCTAAACACATTTGTTTTCAAACAAAGTGAAACTAGAGGTTTAGTGGAGAGCAAAGGAGAGATATTATTTCTCCTGTGTGTTTCTCTGTATTTCAGAGTCTCAACATTTTGCACTGCATGAAACTATTAGCTTTTATGTTTATTTGTTCTTGTTAACTCCTCAGGTATAATAACTCTTGCGTAAACAATGGTTTTTTGTCAAATGCAAGTAAGGGAACAACATTTTTTCAAACTTGACTAATTAATTTTGTCTCTAAATTATAATGTAATATTTTGTCCGATATTTTAGTAGGATTATAAGATGTACCCATGTCACAGGTCAACTGAAAGAGTCGTATCAGCTGGAAGGAGTGTTGATCCTGTTGAGACACGGAGATCGCGGACCACTGACTCATGTCAGGGACATTGTCAGTATCGACTGTGCAACCAACCCCCACCCCCAGCTGCCTGCCTACGAGACTCTCCTTGACAACATCACGGGAACTCCTCAACTCTCACAGATGCTCGGTCCCTTCCACGGCTTCCCCCTGCTACCTCCTCGGTCCTGCAATCTGGGTCAGCTAACCTACGTGGGGGTCTCCCAGCTGTTAGCCCTCGGGGAGGCGTTACGAGCCGCATACGCTGACAGACTCAATTTATCCAACGCCACTGTTCCTGATGACATCGTAGTGTACAGCACAAAATACCGCAGAACATTCCAGAGCGCATTGGCTTTCCTCTACACGTTTCTAACTCCTGAGCTACTTCGCAACGTCGTCTTCAGAGAAACACCTAGTTTACAGTTTTGTTTTGAGGATTGTGCATGCCCTGCGAGTGAAGTGTACTTGAAAAAATTCAATCATGAAAAGTCCAATCATTTAAACTTGCATCCTGCCGTTTTGAAATTGGTGAATTCCGCTTCGTACATTGTATACGAGGTGTTCGAGAAGAATCTGGCTAGTGACCCTCACTCCTTGAGAGACGCTCTGCTAGCCTACGTTTGTCATGGATCTAGACTGCCGTGTTCGGAGGACAGATCTGTTTGTGTTCACACAGAACAGGTGACGAGTTTACTCTCTTACATTGAATGGGAAGCTCGTCAGTTCTCCAGGAGTCCCACGCTCAAACGGGCGTGCATCTTACGAGCTTACGGCATGTTGAGGAATATAGTCTCACATTTGGTGAGGATTATCTCGGAAAAGAAACCGAAGCTTGTGTTATATTCTGGCCATGACAAGACAATACTCTACTTAACAACAGCTCTAGGAATTGCGACAGACACTACATATTTGGCACACTATGCTTCTAGATTCATTATTGAGGTATGTATCTACCATTGCCTGTACCTAGTAATCTGTAACCTATTTTATTATTCAGAATAATCAGAAGCTTGCTGGTTCAATCGTGAAAAAAGTCTGGCTTTTTGATGAATCAAAACAGGGCTTAGTTGTCACTAATCAGTTGGCCTATAGATAAACAATGATCCTGCTTAAAAATAGCTGATAAATTATCAAAGCTACACAGATCGTCCACTCCATCCTACATGCACATTCAGCTTAAAATATTCACTCAGTGTGTGTCCTTGTCTTAAAAGATTTTTGTTAATGTAATTAATGTTGTCAACTTGTTTAACAACGGTTTTTACAGGGTTATTTAAAATGATTGGCAGGGGTGCCCATCCCCCCCTAGACTCATGACGCACCCCCCCCCATTGAGCAACAGCCCCCCCCCCCACCATAAATGATGTACACAACAAGTGAGAAACATTATTCCCCCGCCCAGCACTATTTGTAAAACTATAAAAGAATTTTAATAAATTGTTTTTGGATATTTAAAACTCAAACCAAGTTAATCTATATAAATAAAGTTTTAGTTTTGTCTGTACATTGCTCAGAATTATACATATTTTGGGTTATTTTTACGTTTTATACATTGAAGAAGTTGAAACATGTCTTATCTCAATTTATGTCCATCTTTCACGGCCCAGAAGGCATTTTACGCAGCCTACTCAAAAAAAAAAAACTAGAGTGCCGATTATGATTCTAATGGTTTAATTGTTATCCACAGGATTGGCGAGAGTGTCCTTATATCCATTAAAATATGGCCTCATTATTTTGGAAATAAAATAACGGACGATCAAAAACCCAATTTTGTGTGATTTTTCTAGTTTATTTTCTCTATGTTTACTACATACGTCATTTATGAAATACTAATAATCTGTTAAGAGAAGACGTCATATATGAAACTATGAACAGCTGTTTTGATAAAGCTTCCTTTTTCTAGCTGCCACTGATATGTTTACATAAATGATGTTTACGAATACTGTGTAGGCCCTAACCATTTCCGATCACGTTTGTAAGGAAAACCGAAACCAAGTGAGATCAATAACCGTGTGGCTTGGCTTACATAACGGGTTTGATTTATCACGGGTACTAATATGTAACTGTAAATTAAATTAAATAACTAGCCATCATCCAGGTCGGGTACCGGAGATTCTGTGTGTATCAATTCTGTATGTTCTGTAGTTGTACTTGAATTTTGATTACCGAGAAAAGACCGCGAATCAGTGTTGTACTTGTACTACAGGGCTGGAAAACTTATCTTTCTATATAAATAAAATTAGAGTTTATAAGTCACCTCAATTTAAGGAATTGTTTTATTGCCAGAATATCCATATAGCATTCGTAACCTCTGCTTAACGAATTGTCAGCGTCTTTCTCTTGATATAACGATCCCCTCTCCCTCCCTTTAGAAACATCACAGCTCCTTTGATGAAAATGAAATGGAAACAACGCTTGCGCCAACAATCGTCTGCTCCGTTTTACACTTCTGTCTGCTGTGCGCTATGTTACAACAGATTTCAGATACTGTACAACAGCTGGGGAATGATGACAATATAATGCTTAGTAAACTGTGATTAAATGATTAGTAATTGTATGGTAACTTTAGTAAGGCTGTGATTGGCCATTGAGTAGGCCTAAATATGGCGATTTGTTGAATTTGTGTATGAATTGAAGAGAACAGAAGAACAAAGAAAAATAATAACAAGATTGTTCTCGTTACATTCTTTTTTAAGAGTGTTTTAGTTATCTCTAAATATAATTTTACACTTTTTTATTAGGCCTACTTATCTATCAATTCCTATGCTGTGATACAGCACCTCGGTAGCCTATATGTCCATCATGAGCAGTACCTTATAACACTTTCTAAAGGTTCCTTTAATGTTAACGCTATTTATAGCAATGCAGTGTTTGGCTAGTTATTAGTTGAGTTTAGTTAGCTATAATTTTAAACGTTGCCGTTTGTACAACTGAACCAAGATAAATGATTTGAAATTTAAAATAATAATGTTATTGCACAATAATAATGATTGCGCAATATTGAATTTCGTTTATAAGAATGAAAAACGTGACGTTAATGGCTGTTTACAGCGTTTTAATGGGTTTGTCATCATTCTGTTTTTATACTATATTGGATTAACCGTATTTTTCATTACTCCCCCTCCCTATTAACTCAGATAATCGAGTATCTACACAATTGTGCAAGGTATTGTAGCCTATGCTACTTAATTGTAATTTAACGAACTTTATGTCAACAAAGTGTTCTGTGCTGAGTCGCGGTGTAGCTGGACGTGTCTGTACCCACGCGTCATCTTTTATCTATCACAGCAGTTGAGCCATCCCGTGCGCTCCCTCTTAGATCTCACGTCTTGCTAATCTTGAATAAAAACTTTCTACACGAATCCTAAACCATCCTAAAATCCTATTTTAACTAATTGAATTCAATAATATAAATATTGTCATTAATTAACCCACTTTCTATCTGGCGACTTCGTAATATATTTTGGATTGTTGTCACGTTGAACACTGTTGCAATTAGCTTTAGCCACCCCCCCCATTTGAATTTTTGAGCCCCCCCCAAGAATTTCAATGACGCAGTCTGCGTCACAGCCCCCCCTTGTGGGCACCCCTGTGATTGGTGCAAAACTAAATGGTTGGTACATCTGTTTCCTTGATTTCAAATAGCTGATTGTTACACCAATCGAAAGGGTGTGTTTAAAAGTTTGTTTTTGACAATGTTATGTTTTGTCTCAGTTGCTTTGTTGAGTACCATGAAGCCTGTTAACAAAATCAAAGAATATCAACAAGAATCGAAGCTGTCATGACAAATATGTGTGTGTTTTGGTTGTCAGTTAGCTTACAGGCCTATGCTTGTAATAACTGCAGTTTGTACGAATTTGTTTCAAACGCAAACGCTTGTGTAAAATTGTGGACTGTGGTATGTGAAGTTCCCTCCCAGGTTTGACTGAGAAGGTTTTTGGTCACTGCGCAAACTTAGCTTCGATTCTCTCCACAGCGTCTGGCGGAGTCTGAGGACGGCCCAAACTGTTCCCAACAAATGAACTTGGCTTCATCCAACGAGCTATGCAGTGGTACTCAACTGAGACAAAACATAACCGTCAAAACAAACATATGAACATGCCCTTTCTGTTGGTTTAATAATCAGCTGTTTGAAATAACAGAAACGGACGTACCAACCGTTAAGTTTTTGCACAGTTCTTTTTAAATAACCCTGTATATATTCAGCATTATTGGATCTTAACTGTACGATTTTGTTTGATATGTTGCTCTGAATTGCAGGTCTACAGGAATACCAACAAAGCCACAGCTGATCTAAGTGGAGAATACTACTTCAGACTTCTCTTCAATGGCAAAGATTTCACCAATAAAGTGCAGTTCTGCAAAGGCACAGTCATTGTGCAATCTTCCTCCAGTAAAGGAAATTCTCAGACTCTATTTTTGTGTCCTATTCATACCATTATTCAGTTTTTACATAACGACTACTTCGCTCTCTTTAACGCTTCAAACTTTAAGGACGCTTGCACTGTACATACTAAGTAGATTTTCGATAGCCATAAAACTCGCATTGCCTCTTTAGACTAGACTAACCAATTTCAGCGTCTTCAAATATTAATGTATTCAATTTAAGGACTGACTTACTTTTCTTGGTAATTTTTTGTGGATTAGAAATAGTTAAGGTTTCTTCTTGCTGTGACTAGGAATTGAACCAACTTCAATTATCTAGTAAGTTTCTTTGTAGTTAGCTGTGGTTTTATTTTAACGTAGAAAATTAAGTTAATGTCTGTTGTACCTGATTTTTTAAACTTAGATGTGCAATTTTATACTTGATGAATTTCTGTATGAGATATTGTGATAATTATGCTAAGATTTACTTTAATAGCTTTAAAATATTTTAAATATTATGGTTAGGTGAGAAATTGCAGATAGATGCAGAACAGTCCCACAAACTCAACCCAATATCAATATGTGGTCCACAAGGGTGTGCAGTTTGAGAAATGGGGGTGTAATAGGGATCAAATATTGTGAATATTGGATTAATGTTGTGTAAGTAGGCTGAATGTTTTGTTAAACTATAAATTGTTGTGCTGACCTACAGAAGGCTTTAAGTAGGCCAATGCACTTGATCAAGTGGGTCAGTTTTGTGTGTAGTGAATCGTAATGTACTGAGTACTGAGGACAGGGTCCTGCTGGGGGGAGCCGGAGCATAAGGCCTTTGACCTGGGGTCTTTAAGGTTTTTCAAAATGTTGATTTTAAGTCTTTTTCTAAATTAGGGTTTCTGTTTTACACTTAATTATTATCACTGTTCCAGCCAAATCCACGGTTTTGATTGTTACTAAATTGAATTACGGCCATTTCAGCATCACTGTGTCATCATCAGACTGTTCAGCCAAAAGGCGTCGTTAGAACACAAAAACATTTTTACACTAAACACACACATAGTCAAAACAGGGTTTTTAAAAAACGTACATTTGACAGGTACTTGCTCGATTGCGGAAATGTACGTTCCTCAACAGGCCTGTTTTTAAAACCCCGTTTTACTATGTGTGTTTTTCGTGTAAAAATGTTTTTGTGTTCTAACGACGCCTTTTGGCTGAACAGTCTGATGATGGCACAGTGATGCTGAAACGGCCGTAACATTGGCAATAATACAGGGGCTGGCTGACAAAGGTAATATTTGAATTTCTGAATTTAGTTATAGAACCAGCTCAGGGGCTAGAAAATATGGATTATAATTTGATTGTTACTCATATTAGTGTTCTTTGTATGTTTTGTGGTCCGATAATATAGTTGGGTTTTGTAAGCGAGTGCTGAGTCTTTTATTCCTGAGCTACGTCACCCAAAGTAGCAGTGGGTTAATCTACATTTAGCTGGGATTACCTACCGTTGCAGGGGGTAATCAGGAAAAAAAGGACCAAAAATTAAAACAATTAATGAATGTTCCTTTTATTTCCTCAAAACAGGACTATATTCACATCAGACCATTGGAGTACATAGGTACATTAAACTTGATAAGGAAAGCGCATGACTTAGGCCTACCTTTTTTCTAACTATGATTATGGTGTTGACCAACAGATTAACCGGCTAGGCTTAACAATTAAACTAAATAAAATAAAATAATTATATATTGGCCTTGTTGAACTTGTAAATTTCATTATACATTTCATTACTTAAACTAATGCTTTGGTTGTCATGTATGCGTAACTAAAATGTGTTAATCTTAATGATCGTAAGTATCCCTAGCCCCTAGGTTCAATTTGTGCAACTATTGAATCAACCGAGCTCTGTAATTCAGAGTCAGGGTTGTAAATAACTCCAGCATAGGGATCTTGTAAATTAAGTGAAAGTTATTTATATGTTGGCCTAGGAATCCGTACTGATGGTTTATTTTTAAGGTGCAGAGTTTGTGGGATTAAATGTAATGTATATAATCACTTGTTTAGTTTTAATCTTCATATTTAAATATGGTGTTCATGTAAGATAGTTTGACGAGACTTTTTTTTACACAAATTACTTTTATACATTACGTTTGAATATGAATTTATTGTTGAGATAATTGTTTTCATGTTTTAGATAGATTTAAGAATTGTAATGTAAAACTTTTTTTGTTCGATAGACATATATTGGTTTCGAATTAGCAAATATTAGTAATTTTATCTTATCTAATCAACCAGTTGAGACATTTTATAGCTTTACCTAATAGTATCTTGGAAAGATATCTTGTTTGGATCATTATTTTAAAATATAATACTTATGTATGTGAGAGGTTAAACTACTAATATTTTAGGTCATTCTTGGTAAAATATAAATGTTTGAAAAACTTCCTATTCACTGTAAAAGAAAGCATTGTTTAGTCATAAATTATACATGGATTGTAGACCATGTTTGTGATTTAGCTCCTCTTATGGTTTACTGAAACTTTTCAGTACTCTAATCAAGGCGTACTTTAGGTAAAAGTGGCGATTTCTTTACTGGCTTTCAAGTGGTGCAAAAAATGAACCATGTAACCTCAATTGGCGTTTCATTTGCAGTGTAGTGTGTTGCACGTCAAATTATGGCAGATTAATTTAGAGTGAGACAGGACAGTGCATCACACAATAAGGAAAAATCAAACCCTAACTAAATTCATGGGAAAATTGGTTTTGAAGGCTTGAAATGCAACAATATTTCGCTACCATTCGCTATACAATCCTGTTTGTATGTCACAGAACAACTTTGTAATACACATTGATATATCCAACTGATGTGTGCGAAAATTGTGACGGTACCAACTGCTGCAGCAATGGATGCCTCGTCTATTTGCTAATGTAAACCTATCCTTATACCCAAAAAAATAAATTGCCGCTCTAATTTTTAAGTTTATGCATTGTTAACACGTTCGCTACTGCAATAGTACGAAATTTTGATAAAAAAGAATGATAATGTGTATTTAAAAAAAAATTATAAATCACTTTAAAAAAACAATATGTATCCCATTGTCTTAAGGTGGCTCCAGACATGCGCCATTTGCCAAGCACCGAGCAGCGACTTGCTGGATCGCGAGTAGTGTTAATAGGTGTTTGTCAAGCAGCAAACATTGGTATTTGTGTTTTCCAGTTCATTGGTCCGTATTTTTTACACATCAAAGTAAAGAAATATTTGCTATCCCCAAAACAAACAAAAAACGAACAGTTGCTTGTAAAACAACACATGTGTAGTATAGATGTCTACTTATTAATCGGCAAACAGCATGACAACTAGATTACCGAACGTAAAATATTTCGTGCTTGGCAACTAACCATGTCTGGAGCCGCCTTTAAGTTAAGAATTTCAGGCATAGGGATTTTGTAATAAGTCTTGTTAAATCAACCATTAGGCCTAGATTATGTTATTGTACTGTTTTTGGAAATAGTCACTCTTGTGTGGAGAGATAGAACTTAATTTTATGTGAAATATTATCTTTTAGATTTTCTTATAAATATTTTTAAATGTTTAATTTATTGGAGGGAATAATAACTCTATATCATATCAGCTGTGCATTTTGTGATATTTTCTTAGTAAATATAATTCACAGTTGATAATTTTTATCACAACTTTTTTTGTGTCCTAGTTTTCCAGTGCGTTGTGAATTCTACAGACAGGGAAACGGCAATTACAGTACCATCGTTTTTGTGGTATAGATTTGGTCCAAGAGAAGGAAATGTACTTTCGTTTAAGAGTCCCAAGAAACAAAAAAAAAACGTTAATTCAAAATGTTTATGTTGATGCACAAATTTTCAGAAATGCCATTTTCATGAGGTTTTTAACCAACATGTCTACTGGTACTGACAATCTTACCTTTAACCAATTTTGGGTAGATAAAACCATAGACAAATAGAATAAATATAGACCGTCAGCTGTGCTGCGGTTAGCATAAGTTCTGGCGTCCACCGCTAGGTTTGCCAAGTACTGTAGTTCCGGCGCACACCGGTGCAGTGTCTGCTGGTCGCATACGGCTCCTGCGCTCCTCGCCTACAGCAGTGTGCGCTGTAACTACACGGCACTCCTAGCGGTAGGTGCCGGAACCTTTCTTCCTTTTCAGTCTATATTTATTCTATTTGTCTATGATAAAACCCCCAACAAATTTAAATGTTTTACAGTTTAATAAAGTATTTTTATATTTTAGTGCAGGCTTTTAACATGAAAATAAATACATTTGTATTTAACTTTTGTTAATATGATTTCACTAAAACTGGAATGTGCCTAATATGGAGATTTGCTGCAATTAGGGTATTTTATTGAGTATCGTACTCTCTTATTCTTTAACCAAACCTACATTTTTAACTATGTTTTGCTCTGGGTGATCATGGCTTTGGAGGTACATCCTCTGTCAACATCTTTAAGGCCTTAGAGATTGTTTAATTTAAGCCTTGTTTACAGTTTACTCGCTCCAATTTATTTGCACAAATCATCGTAACGTGTAAAAGGCAGATTTATGGAAACGATAAGATTCGAGTGAGTGGAAAATTTTAATCAACCTTGCAATCAGATTGGAAGGTTTGAGTAATGGTTGGAAAATATTAACGGATGTTCATGCCATTTTGCTCAAACCTAGGTCTTGTAGTCATCTGTTCCCATCCCATTGTCAGTAAATTTCAGTATGTTGCATCATGGCTGAACCTTGTGAATTTTTCAATGATTTAATTGAACTAACTTATACCGTAGTTTTCCTTGCCTGTGGCACATTAAAAGTAAGCACTACTCTGATCGCATCATGAAGAAGTGGAACCCACCGCCAATCATGAAAGTATGGCTAAAAAAATTAACTCTTTATTCAGTTTGAGTATTTCCCTTAGTTCTAGGCCTAGTTATTTAGTTTATGCCTTAATTATTTTTAACTATTGTCACTAAAAAACAGCATCAGCATTCACAGACCATAACAGCAACTCCTTAGCGATCACAACAGGACTGGCGTGCTAATCGAAAGAAGGTTTGAGTTAAATATCTTAGCGTTTCTAAACAGTCGTGCCTATTCAAACCTGGTTTGAACAAATATTGGAACGTGTAAACACGTCTTCATTCTATAAGAATCCACCTATCTTATCTTGTTAATTTCCAACCAAGTTCACAGTTTATTATAGGTTGTACTCTGCCACAGAGACTTGAAATCTGTTTGATTGAGTTAAATAGGATATAGTTGATAGTGAAGGATTCGTTTTGCTATTAATAACTTCCAACTTAAGATATTTGAGTTGAAATGCTTGATATACTGAAATGCTAATTCTTAGAATAAAAGTTTCCGCTACATGCGCGATCTCTTTATAATTTAACATTTATAAAATATTTGTATAGGCCTACATGTATAAACAGATTTTGTCCAGCCAGAGCCAGTAACCAAACTTTACTTATTATTATCATCATATGGGGACACCACCTATGCTTTGATACTTTTCAATGAAATGGTGACCATACAAAGTAGGTATTTTAAGCAAAGTATGAATGGAGATGAGTGTTGACCCATATATGAGGGAAGGATATGGTGATAAAACAAGGGCACCCATAGGAATTTCTCGCATGAGGTAAAGAGAGGTATATTGAGGTAGGCCTATAGTTTAATCATAATACATTTATTCAATTACAACTTTATACCACACATAATATAAATCGGAAAAGACAAGAAACAATTTAATTTTGTTTTAAAAACACAAGAAATTGTTAACAATTTTGTACTTAAAATGTAGCTAAGAATAACTCTCCAACAAAAAAATTTTTGTTACCAGTAATGAGAATCAAAACACAAATAATATTAATTCCTTTTTATATGGTAGGTACCATGTACCACCTATACAATAAGCAAAAAAATTAGTGAAGATAACGGAAGATAAAACCCAAAAAATTATAGCTAGGCTATTCTTGTAAAACACATCTTTTTTAGGTAACAAAGACTAACAAAAAAACACACAAAAAAGTGCACTTGCACATTACAAAAAGTAAAAATTAATACAAACCAATGAAACCATTAAATCTGAAAATAGTATGCCTACATTGTGTGGGCGAGGGTTTTTAAACCTAAAATATCAACTAAACATCTTTAAAAAAATTATCTTCACATACACAACAAAAACTGTTAGGCCTATTCATAAAACAAAAATAATCTAGTAAAGAAAAATGTTTTGTACAAAACCTGTAAATAGGTGTTAGGACAAATTAATCTAACATCTATCTAGAAAACATTTCTCCATTAGCCTACAACTTCAAAGTAGTAAATAGTTTGTTTACTGATACATAAAACGATATAGGGCCTAATCCAACACAGTCCATCCTCATTAAAAATTTTAAGCTACCCTTAGTTAATTTGCTTGTTTGTATCGAAGATTATCATCATGTTAAGTTCACACGATCACTTATCCTACATCTGTAGCCTATAACTACATCTTCTTAAAACTTTATTTTAGGCTATGCTCTTGAGCAAAAATACGACTATATCCTTATCTTAAACTGACATAAATTTTATGGTGAGGTGAATGACAAAATGTTAACAAATTGCTCGTTTCTTTCCTCGTTTATTTTTTAGGGATTCATTAATTTTTTTATTCATTTCTTGAATTTGTAGCCAATTTTCTCCGAACATTACCTGGTGGAGACCGTCTACCAAACTTGTAATTTCTCGGCTTCGTGCGTAACCTGCATGAAATCCAGCAAGGTAAGCTGCTTTCTGTTTGCCGTGTTCCTCAGCAACTTTGATGGTCAAGCGATCACAACCACCCTCAGGAATCTGTCCGTCCAAGTGTTTGATAGCTTCCTGGGCTTCCTCTCTTCGGCTGTATCTAACAAAGGCGACTCCTCGAGGCAAACCAGTGATTTTATCAAACAAAAGATTCTTTTGTACAATTGATCCATATTTACTGAAGAGTGCTTCCAGGTCTGCATCGGTATAGTGTCTTGGAAGGTTCATGATATACAGGTTTGTATCCTTGATTTCATTATTAGAAGGTCTCGCATGAGAAACTTTAATTCTCTTATTAAATATCTCTGTACCATTAAGTTGCTTAATAGCCTGTTCAGCATCTTCTGGTTTTGTGTAGTTTACGAATCCATATCCAAAACTGTAGCCAGTCTTGAAATCTTTCATGACCCTACAACTTTTGACTGGTCCAATGCTTGAAAACATTCTGTACAAATCTCGATCACTAAACGTTTGGGGCAAATAATTCACGATTAAATTAGAATTAGTATGACCATTTTGGGCTGCCATTATAATTGATTGCTAATACAATGCTATAATCTATAATGAGCAATGTTTATTTTTTTGTGGCAAGATGTACGTGGATTGTTTGTTAAGACAGACAATTTTGAGTTGTGTGCAATATTTTATGACATAAGTTACCTTACAGTAGTACAAGCTAGAAATTGATGAAAAGGGGAGCTAACTTCATTATGCTCAAGTTTCAGTTTCTAAAGCCTCTTAAGCTAAGCACTAAGCAGAGAAATGTTCAAATACAGTAGACTATTGTTTTCTTACTACAAACAAACGAGACTAATTATACATGTTCAAACCTGACCTGACTCTGACTGGCGACACTGACACTTGAACTTTTTGAACTTGATGACCGACACTCCACTCCACTCCCTTGAAACGGCCCAAACACAACCAAACCAACGGTGATTTTTTTCTGCACAGACAGACTTAAAACTAACTTTTTGCTCCGTTGATTTAAAACAAAGTGAAGACTGAAGACTAAACGGGGTATTGCAGCTCAGTCACAACATTTTATATTTCATCAACTCGAAACCCTTTCTATTTAGCCACTCCCCTTATTATTTTCTTTGCCCTTTCAGAGATCAAATCACCACCCTCATCCAAGGTTAACATCCTCACTAAAAGAACTGCCTTATAAGTAGAAACGAGGTGGGAAATTAAATGCCAACTTCCGATCTCTTGAATAGCGTTTGTCAGCAAATGCGTCTTAATTAACCCTCGGATTAAGGCTGAAGAGCATAGAACAGCCGCATTCTGACGGGTTTTCATCTCCCTGGACTGAAATATCACAAAAAATAGTCCGGCAGAATTGACCCGAACCTGGTTTTGTCCTATTAAGTTTTTTTTTATTGTTGATATGTGATATCTAGGGTAAGTAGAACCTAAAACCACCGGGTACTTTTTTGGTACCCTTGGGCAACAGCCGCCATATTGGAAAATGGCGGGAAACGTAAATTTCAGTGTAAGCTTTTACTTAAACCAATGTAATTAAAAAACTATTTAAGGTAGAGCAATGCATGTTATTTTAAAAGGTTTATGGTTAAATTCCCTACTCAGAAATACCATATATAATTTGTTTCAAGGTCGGTATTACTTTTCAAAGTTTATAATTTATAAAAAAATAATTACATATTAATTTTTATTTCAATTTTGCGCCTTAATTACTCAAAATATGACTATAATATAAATTATAAAGATTGTTGAGCTTTAAATTTTGTATCGAATACATCTATGGGATGTTTTGTTAGACCAAGAGTAACGCCAGAACAAAGCGTTAGAAAATAACTTTTTAATTGTTTTTAATTAAAAATAAGGATATTTTATATGTTCAATAACATTGTTACATCTTTCCTGAGACCATCCGGCACTTCTCTCTGGCTGTTTTTGGTATTAAAATGTTTGTAAAATTATCAAATTTAATTTGAACTGTTAACTATTTATACAGGGTGAATAAAAAGTCAAGACCCCCCCCCCCCTCTAATATTTTTCCAAGTAAATATACAGAGATATCCTTTTGGTGGTCAAGCAATCTTAGCAGGAAGTTTCATTTTATCATTTTGAAATTTTTGAGTGTCCCCCCAAAAGGGGGGATTTGGGGGGCAACTCAAATATTTTAAATGTAAACCCCCTTCAAGTGACACCTCATTTTGAAGTGTTTACAAAAACTTAAAGAATGGTGAAAACTAGAGGTCGCTATCCCTTCTCTATCTAAAATGGTATTCTGTCAAATGTTGTGGAAAATCAATGGTAAAATTGTTAATATTGGCTGTCATTTTGGATAGAGAAGAGATAGCGAGCTCTGGTTTTCACCATTCTTTAAGTTTGTTTAAACACTTCAAAATGAGGTGTCACTTGATAAGGGTTTCTATTGAAACATTTTTAGTTGTCCCCCGAATCCCCCCTTTTGGGGGACACTCAAAAAATTTAAATGTAAACCCCCTTCAAGTGACACCTCATTTTGAAGTGTTTACAAAAACTTAAAGAATGGTGAAAACCAGAGCTCGCTATCTCTTCTCTATCCAAAATGGCAGCCAATATTAACAATTTTACCGTTGATTTTCCACAACATTTGACAGGCTACCATTTTAGATAGAGAAGGGATAGCGACCTCTAGTTTTCACCATTCTTTAAGTTTTTGTAAACACTTCAAAATGAGGTGTCACTTGAAGGGGGTTTACATTTAAAATATTTGAGTTGCCCCCCAAATCCCCCCTTTTGGGGGGACACTCAAAAATTTCAAAATGATAAAATGAAACTTCCTGCTAAGATTGCTTGACCACCAAAAGGATATCTCTATATATTTACTTGGAAAAATATTAGAGGGGGGGTCTTGACTTTTTATTCACCCTGTATTTAAGGACTTTAAGGCCAATCTATTCATCTTCACTCCAAAGAAACAATATTTTTTCAAAAATAAAAGTTTAAATTTTGACCAACCCATTGAGTTATTATTATTATATGTTGTATGTATTGCAAAAAAAAAAAAACACTTAGTAAACAATTGACATCCATTTGACATGTAGATCACTGAAATCGAACGAGTCGGAGGTGAATTACAATATTTCAACCAACAAAGATTTTAATGGTTGTATATAATTTCCTCTGAAAAAAAGATTGTTACCTCGAGTACTGATTATGGGATGTTATATTTTTTGAAAATAAAATACTCAGCAAACTACTGAAAAATGAACAGCTGTTTCATTAAAAAGTATTATTCACATGGCCAAAATGTAATTAACAACTCTATAAAGGGATCTTTAAAGGCTTCTGGGGCAGAGTCCTGAGGGATTTAGATTAGTTTTTCTTTTGATAACTCATCTACAGACCAAGATCTTTCTTTGGACACCTCTACCAAGTTTCTACGCCCAGCCGTTCTCTCAAATAAGTGGGGACAATTAAATATTTGGATTCCCCCATGTTAATCTTATGGGAGACACTCCAACTCTGTGGGGCAAAGCCCGAGGATTTTTATTACAGGAATTGGTGAAAGGGGGCGTCTACACAAAAAATACCTTATTTTGACACGTCGTTTGTAAAAATCGGTCCATTATACATATTCTAATTCTAAATCATTGCTGAGCTAACTTGCTTACAATTTTGAAACATTGTAGGTAGGAGCGCATTTAAAGTTAACTAAGGGTCTGATGGGTACATTCTTCTTGTGTATTTTTGGGATCCCTTTCATTACGGGCACCTAAGAATTTAGGATGTTCATCTTCTGTCGGTATTCTTTGTGAATCACTCTGGTGCATCTCTTCACGACGTCGGACAGCTCTTTTTTGATACCTCTGCGTTGGATCCTTTTTCAGCTCTTTGAAGTTATTTTCTTTGATGAAATCTTCCGTCTTCTTTCCATATTCTTATTTTCCGAGCACTACGATAGCGTTGCTTTTGTCTGCTTTCACAACGATTGAGCTATTCTCTTCCAGTTTCTTCTTTATTTTGTTGCACGTCTTAAGTTCTTCATTTCTGCTGGGATCTATGGGTCCTTGGCTGGTGAAATCGTTGGCAGTCACTTCCTTCCGAACGGCATAATGGTCTACGTCTCTGAGTGATTTTACATTTTTTTCAACTCCAGTAACTAGTAGTTCGTTTTCGTCCTTCTTCTTAATTGCGAAATTGTACTTCATTCCGTAGTTCAGTATTTTCGTTATTTCTTCACTGAATTGAATGTCTGTAAGTTTAATGACTCTCTTCTGGAATTTGTGTTCTGTACTGGTCCTATCCAAGTCTTCATTAGGTATATTCTTCTCTACGAGTTTGTCTAATTTGTCGTTTATCCGTAAATATTTCCGGTCCATGGCGTTTTTTTAAGTTTTTTTAGTTTGGCCTTGATTATAGCTTTACAGTATAATGTACACTATATCAATGTGTCTCTTTTTTGTTGTCATTTTAGCGAAGAACTCAAGCAGGCTGTGCTCAGCTGACCGGTAACTTTTCAGCTGACAGCTAACACATGCGTATGCGTCTGTTGTCGTCTGTCAGTGTCTTGCGTGAACTTTTCTTCAGCTTGAGAGAAACTTCTGATTCATTACGTGAGATAGTCATTTGGGAAGTGAAGCGTCGTGGGTGCTAAATTTAACTGAAAGTCTATAACTTATAGGAGCTGTTTTGTTTTATTTTAGATCGTTATTTTGTTTTCTGTCATGTTAACATTTTAAATACGGGACCAGTCTCCTCACATACTATTTAACCGACAGACAACACCTATCGTCTACCTAGATCAATCAAATCGATGGTGATAGACTAGTGGACACTAAAATATTTATACCTCATTTATTGATCATGCACTGTGGCAAACTTTGAACTAAAGCCTTCACTGCACCTTTTTAGTAGACCCCCTTAAGCTGTACTTATTATGTGTTTTTTAAATAATTTAATAGTCGTTATTGTACCTCGATGTTTGTTTTTAAACACAAGAACTATATGTACAACTATTTTGGTGTGCCTTTTCCTAAATCAGGTAAGTGATATCGCCTACGCTACCTTTCACTCATTGCAGGCCAATTAATTCTCTTTGATAAATTTTGACTTGCCTTGTACATTGCGATTGTAAGGTCTACTTAGGTTATTTTACTGATTTAAAATGGACCTACTTTTGCTTATAACTTACCTACCGAAGGTGGTCTTTGCTTCTACTTTTAAGTATCAGGTTCATTTTGGAATGTATGAATCATAGGAGGGGTGGGTGATCAAACTTAACTTACCAGATACTGTAAGGGCCAAATTCGACGTTGTAGGCGTTTGGTGTTTTAACCATTTCTCACTTGTTGACACACATTTGAAGCCTTACAAATTAAGAACATTTTTTATTTATGAAGGCCTACCAAGTTATCCAATGTTGTTAAGTTGGAAGAGTTTATTGCATTACTGTTTAGATTATTATTGGTGAAAACCTACAATAGGCCTAAGTTAGTCTCCCGGCACACTTGCAACACATATAAGTTTGGACCGCTTTTCCTTATTAACCCTCGAGCGGGCGCTTGCGGAGTTTATCTCCGCACTTGTAGTTTTTGTTAATATAAATATACATAATTGGTGTCGGCAGTCGTGTCCGGCTCTACACTTCACGCACCTCATCCTGGGGATGCCCCAAAGCTATTTTTACCCCCGAATTCCTCCTCATTTTGTTGTCAGTTGCAATTCAGTGACGCGGTGTCAGTTTGCGGAGGTTTACTCCTTGCCTTATCGCATAAGTCCTTAGCGTAGAGTTTATTTCCTCATGCGCTATTGTCAAACTGTGTGTATATTTTATATACGGTATACAAAATTATAAAAAACATGTTTAAATGCATTATTTCATTTATAATTAAGTTATTATCAAATATATTTTGTTTGCGTGTATTGTATAATTGTATTACTTTTTCTACTTTTTCTCTGCTATATTAGAGGTATGCCAGGAGCGATTCCTGGTAACGGCGGGTCTATGTGTCTGTTTGCTGATGATTGTAATGTGCTTATTCCCGGAAGATCAAAACAACAGATTGAAACGTTTTCTCAGGAGAGTCTTTTATCCACTAAAGAATTCCTTGACCGAAAAAATCTGCTTATTAACACAGAAAAATCCAATTTTATATCATTTTCCACTAAACAACGTAGACAAAATTTTGAACCAAACATTTGCATAAGATCAGAAAGAATAAACCAAGTAAAGCAAACAAAATTTCTTGGTCTAATTATCGATAAACATCTATCTTGGGAGGGCCATGTGAACTATGTGGTTAAAAAGGTATCTTCCGGTATCCATGCGCTGTGACAGATGTTCAGAGTATGCAGTTTAGACACTTTAAGAGTTGTTTATTTCTCATTAATACATTCACGTATTTCATATGGAATTGTTCTATACGGGGCAACAACAAAAACTAATTTGGATAAAGTACTAATTAAGCAGAAAAAAGCTATCAGGGTGATGAAAAATCTTAAAAAGAAAGAGCCAGTCAAGAGCATCTTTCGTGAATTACAAATATTAACAGTTTATAGTCTTTATATTTATGAAACAATAATTTATGCAAAACAGATCCAACTATCATCCAGCTCAACAGAACAATTAGTATATAACACCAGATTAAAAATTAACCTACCTCGGCATAATCTCGAATTTTACACTAAAAAGACATCTTACATAGGGCTAAAATTTCTCCAGTCTATACCAGCTCACATCCGAAAAGAAACAAAATTTAATAAATTCAAGAAGCTCTTAAAGGAATATTTTTTAAGAACTCCCTGCTACTCAGTAACAGAATTCTTTAGTATTAGTAAAAAACAGTTAGGCCTAACTTAATTTGAATTCCAAATACTGTTATCCTTAAAGTCATGGTTTTGTTAAAAGTTCAAGTAAAGTAATTTTAGTACTCTTTTTATGTATTTAATTAGCAGTAAGCAATTTTGAATTTAGCTTATGACTCTATTCAAGTTCATGTAATGTGAAACTATAATGAATAAAGAATGTTTTGACTTTGACTTTGACTTTGATTAGGCCTATTGCGGAACAAAACTTCGCACGCGCCCTCTCTCGTAACATACCTTATTCTAGAAAATTGTTGAATATTATTATTTGAAATATTACTCATATAAAGTTAAACAAATAATGTTAATAACAAAGAAATTAGGTTTCTGATTAGGTTATTCAACATTTACATATAATATTTCTTTATAACAACAAGTTAAATGGGTAAAATTCATGCTAATTAGTGTTGCGGAATAAAACTCCGCATGCGGATGCGCCCTCACCTGTTTTACTGGTGAAGCGTCTCCTCGAGGGTTAGGCCTAAGTGTTATTTGATTACAATGTATATTGAATCTATATTGTGTAGGCCTATCTAATAGGCCTACACTAATGTACCTAATACGGTACACTTGATTTTCTGATTTTCCGAGTTTATTTGGATAAGTTATCTAGGATAAATGACAATTATTTTTGAATTCCGGACGTATTTTGCAATATAATTTGAGGAAAAAATACAATTTTATCATGATGTCTGACATCAATATAATTACCAGCTCCTTTAACAAGCTTAATAGACCTTTAAATGGCCTACTAAGTTAAATATTTATAGTTTTTTTATAGGCCTAGTCTTGCAGAATTTTTATTTGCTGCTGAATTTAAATAAAAAAATAGCCTAGTGATTTCTCCTCAGCCTAAATGCAAATGTAACCCCAGGTGATATTTTTATGTTCTGCTCCATCGGATTTACAAATAAAGTAACTTGTCAAACTATAAACTCTATCTATAGCCTATTTTCAATTGAATCATTCTATGACTTATTCTCTTGACCATTAAATGTAACCTAATCCAACCTAACCACATGGTTAAATAGTATGATTCAAATTATCATTAAAGTTAACATTTGTGCTTATTTGTTAAAGAATCAAATTTGATTGAAAGGTTAGGTAACAGTCCAACTGTAAATATTGTTAAGATTGATTTGAAAAAATCTATTAAATTTTACATTGGCTAACAAACAATTTAGCTGCATAACCAAGCTAACAAACGGTTTAGCTGCTTAGGCTATCCAAGTTCTGCCCTAAGGTAGTTTAAGTTGATCAAACCCAGAGGGGAGGTAATTGCCCGGTGTTTGAACCGGCACTTCAGGTAGGCCACATTTATGGACGACTGGTAAGCGCCAGCCCCTTAGGGGGAGCCTCCAGTGACATTCCCTCCATTCAGGGTGGTGGGGTGTTTAGCTCTCAGTGACGCCGTTAATTCCGCCTCTCCTCACCTACCTGTAACTGTGGTTGTGACTTGAGTTCTTCGGGCTCGTCCTACCTGTTGTGTACGACTGACATTTTGCGAGGCATATCCTCGGCTCTGGAAGTAGCCTCGTCCTGGGAGGTGAAAAACCTAGCCCCCAAAGGGGAGGTAACTGCTCGGTGTTGGTATCGGCTTTTCAAGTAGGCCATAGTCATGGACGTCTGGTAAGCGCCAGCCCCTTAGGGGGAGCCTCCAGTGACATTCTTCCATCCAGGTTGGTTGGGTGTTTAGCTCTCGGAGAGGTGGAAGTGCGCCATCAATCTCCCATCTACCTGTGACTATGGTTCTTTGGGCTTCGGCCTGCTTGTTCTGTGCGACCAGCATTCTGTGTGGCATATCCTCGAATTTGGAAGTAGCCTTTCCTGGGGGTGAAATCGGGCAAGTACCTACCCGTAAGCTCACGGGGACACTCTAGGGGAGCGTAACTTTCCGCAGTGTGAGGGTAACGGCTGGGCGCACTCCATCAGCCAATCCCTGTCTCTGAGACCGGAAGGTATGGTTATCTAGAGTGTGGGGAGTTCTCCCTGGAACTTCAATTGAGCAAAGGGTGTCGCCACCTTTGGTGGATAGGTTCATCCGGGTGGGACCCACTTCTATTCCTGCCTCCTTTTGGGAAACCCTGATGGCCTGGCAGTGATGTTGGGCTGGACGGGCAAATGAAGTAGATCGGGTGCTGGGTTCAAGCCCGCTAGAGGTGTTCAGGGATCTATCGCCTTGGTCACCTCTGGTTTCCCAGCAACTGGGTAAGGCCTCGATCGGGTAGTGGTGTAAATAGGTGGTTGGGGTTCCCCCCATCAGCTTGCTGGTGGTCCCCTTCTTCCTGAATTTGATGGCGGGCTCTGCCTGTCAGGGATTAGATAGGTCCCGAGTGTTGCTTGCACTAAATGCGTCAGGGTATTCCATTATGGTCCTTCTGGGGTTCGTACCTGGGGGAGCCCAGGAGGAGTGACGCTTAAACAAGTAGCCGGTATCCCTGGTTAGGATTGAGGGGAAACCCTCTCTCCGATGGGTTGCTCCGGCAGCCGGTGAGCCTGATGACCTTAAGTCATCCTCTCATGATGTGCCAAAGGTTGGTGCATTAGCTTCGGCCTACATCATGGGGCCCGGGTATGTTTAATTATAGGTACCGGGCTTGTAGTCAGTGAGCTTGCTCTTATGACAAAACAAAATGCGAAAATGCGAAAAATGCGAAAATGATCAAACCAAATCTCGTCTTTAGATTTGACAGGATATGCTTTTGTTGTTACCATCGGTACCAATTTTGAATATACAAACTGTCCCAAAAGTCCTGAACAGGTTTAATATTTCTCAAAATATTTAAAATAGAGCTAAAAAAAATTGCACAAAGTTACTGGACATAAAAATCTATTTTATCACATATAGTGATCCGCTATTCCCAAAGGGGGACTGCCCACTATGAGTGCGAAGATAAGAAAATCCTAAATGCATAGGTTGATATGCATATAAAATAAAAGGCCGTTAGTAGAATGCAATGCCACAAATTTGAACACAAACGGACTACCGAGTCAATAATGGCAGCCGTTCAAAAATGTCTTGAATCTGCCATTATTTATATTAGGCCTATGGACCAATGAAAATGTAGGCCAGAACACGGTATTGTATTTTATTATCTAGTTTGTAAGCAATTACTGAAAGCAGGTAGTGTAATGCATGCTGATTTTCCATGACCTTGTATTTTGGTTTGCTTGATGGAGTGTGATGAAGGCCAATGCCAATCCACTGATCTGATAAAAAACTGAAATGTTCACTGTATTTCAGACAGCTTAGAAAGTGGCTGTGCCCGATGTAATGCTTGGTTGTTGGTTATTTTCCTCCCCTTATCAGTAGGTTGCTGGTTCAATTCTGAGGGTTCAAAAATGCTAATTGATTTTGAGGGTTTGGGGGTTCAAAAAATTCAACAATAATTTTTTAAAATAATGAAAAATCGATATCAGAATGGGAAAAGATTACAGTTGGTGTTCCTCAATGCTCGATTCTTGGACCTTTACTCTTTATTTTGCATATAACTGACTTGCCTAAAAATGTCACTAACAACCTTATCTTATATGCCAACGATACAACTGCAGTTGTCAAATGTAAAAATGATTCAGAATTATCGCCTAAAGTTAAACAAGCCCTATCGGAACTGGAACATTGATTCAAGATTAATGGTCTAAAAATGAACCAAGATAAAACCCAACTGGTAAAGTCAACCATAAGACAGATTTTTTTGAAAAGTTATAAATATTTAGCTTTTTCAAAAGGATATCATGGTTGACACAGTCAAATGCCTTGGATAGGTCACAAAGCACTTCCATTGTGCTCTGTGACCCATCCAAAGCCCATGAAACCTCACTAATAAAATCTGATAAAGCTTTCATTGTGCTTAAAAACCCTTTCTAAAACCAACTTGTTCACTAGCCAAAATATTATTATTTTCAAGAAAACTTGAGATTTGTTTGTACCGGTACGCTAGTTTTTCAAATACGTTTGAAAATGATGGTAGAAGGGAAACTGGTCGATAATTGTCCGGATTTTGTCTCTCGCCCATCTTGAAGAGAGGTTTGAGCTCTGCATATTTTAAATGTTTGGGAAAAGTGTTTGTTAAAAAAGATTGATTTATAATTATAGATAAAGGTTCAGCTATGAAATTAGAGACAGTTTTCATCAGATCGATAGGAATACAGTTCCATCCAGCAGATATTTTTACTGTGAGATTTTATATTATTAATAACTTCTTCTATACTTACAAATCTGAATTCAAATAAATTAGGTTGGTTTCCTGCTAATTAATACCTTGTCAATTTTAGCGCATCCTCTTTATGAGGTATTAGGCCAATTCCTTTTGTGATACTTATAAATTTGTTATTAAAGAATTCAGAAATTTCCTTGCCACTTTTGAGATGATTGCCATAAACCCTAATTTCAGGAAAGTTAATGTCACTTTTTTACAACCGAGTTCAGATTTAATGATAGGCCAAGCAGCCTTACTCAGTTATCTGAATCTTTTATAAATTTACCATTATATATTTTTTTTGCTTCATTGCATACCTTGTTGAAAGTTAATTTATACCTTTTAACAGAATTAATGAAATTTCTATCATTTGATTTCTTTAGGCGGTCGACAGACAGGAAGACTGAAACCAAACTAAAGTTGAACCAACTGTTTTGTGACGCGATTACGATTGCAGTTGCGTTGGTTAAATCCGCACACGGGGGCGACTGAAATAATTGTAGTTGAGTTGGGATAGTGAATGAGTTCTAATTTTGTTATAACGATACTGTGTACTGTGTATTTGAAATGAGTGGTAGTAATGAAGAAGCCCTGGTCTTTTATAGACAATCAAGAAAGTGTAGAGGACGTAGAAGGTTTTGGGTACATCCTTATGTTGAAACAAATATTCAATGTAGGCTCTTTGTAGCTGCCTAAGTAATTCTCTTTAAGTAATTCTAAAAGAATTACTTAGGTAGAAAAAGGCAGAAAAAACCATAACAAATTTGAAAGAAAATTATACATTTTTGAAAGTAGGGCGTTTTTTGTAGGTGAAGAATTGCGATAAAAAAAGCTTTTTCCCTATATGGGAAATTCGCTAAAAACCCAGAAGAGAGTTTTGTAGAAAATTTAATTCCTGGCCATGAAAATCTTTCAAATCTTTTCTAGCTCTTACAGTTTTCGAGCTATAGCCGTTAAAAAAAATTGTGTTTTTTTAATTACTCATTATTTGCTGAAATTTTCTGAAAACGTCTACAATATTCACAAAAATGCTAGAAAAGTTGTTCAAACCAGGCGACTGAAATCACCTTCCAACCGGCAGGACCGGTTGCTTAACGACAGATCGCCGACTGGTCCTCAACTGGTCGCATCGCAGTCGCACCGTGTGCACTGTCCCACCGAACTACAATGGTCGGGACGCAGGCGACTAGTTTGTCCAACTAGTTACCGATGTCAGTTGAAAAAGTCTTCCCGTGTGTCGATGGCCTTACAAGTCTGCTTAGTTCCCTTTTTCTAATACTAGAAATTTTAATACCTCTTGGTACCCAGGACTTTTTATTATTACAAGATTTGGTACCATAAAACTTCATAGGAAATGCTTCTTCAAATAGATATTGAAAAGTTCCAAAAACATTTAAACAGTTATTATAAAAAGAATTATTTACAGAAACATTCCAGAGGGTTTCTTTTACATTGTTTACAAATTGTGTTGTATTTTCTTTTAAAAACAATCTTTTTTAAATTTTTTACCTTTTTTCATCAGTTTTACTTATTATATTTAAAAATAGTGCTCTTTGATCAGAGATGCCTAATTCTAAATTCATTGTTGATAATGACTGATGATTAAATTTCTGTGATAAAATATTATCAATGTAAGATTTTGTGGACTGAGTAATTCTTGTTGAAGAGGAAAAATTTATTTTGAAACCATATTGCTCCAAAATAGAATGAACTCTTATCTTTTGATATGGTTGGCTGCAAGTTTCCAGAATATCAACATTAAAGTCAGCAGCTATATATACATTTTTAGTAGATGTATCTTTAATCAGAAGGTTTAGTAAGCCTTCCAAATTTCTAAGAAAATGTTTGAAGATCTGAATTTGGAGTTCTGTAAATAGAAACAACAATGATATTTAATACAAGAAATTTCAAAAACAGAATCTTCGTTAGAGGCACACAAATCATTTCTTACTTTATATTATAAATTGTCCCTTAATAGTATGCAAGAACCATCAGGAATTCCTTCCTTCCTGCAATAAAAGTGTCCTAAGGTATAGTTAGGAATACTATTTAAAATTTAAATATTATCATTTTTGAGCCAGTGCTCAAACATGATATTAATTAACGGCTGTGTCAAAGGAATTGGAATATGTCGGCCTTAGCCAAAATTAACAAGACTAAAAGATTGCGCCACTCATCCTACACTCATCTCCATTCAAACTTGGCTTAAAATACCTACTGTGTATGGTCGCAATTTCAATGAAAAGAAATGTAGTCCTAACTTAAAATATTAGTATTAAAGTTCTTGGAAATTTAAATAAATTCTTCTGGCTGAAAATCAGTGGATATTAGCTGAAAGAAAATAAAAAGTCTCATTCATTGAACTCTCATAATACTTCATTTTAAGTTTGATCTCTTCTTATAGAATCTAAAAAGATGGCGTACATTTTATTTTTATATGAGGTACATTTTTATTTATGACATATTGTTGCAGGTGCTGTGTGAAGAATATCATTGTGTTTGGTATGGAGAATGCTATACCGATAAATCCAACCACAAGAAAAACTGTCCCTATGATGGTCCTTCCAAAGAGGTGACCAACTCTACTAGTGTTAATATTTTGAAAAAATGGTGCCCCTTCTTGGTCAACAATGATGGTGAGTTAAACTTTGTTGTTAGCACTATTGACCCTTTAAGGTCTAAAATCAATACATAACCTAGGGGTTGAGCTTAACTTGATTACACTTTTGAATTTTCTTGATCCATGTTGTCACTGTGGTATAGTTGTTTAGGTATGATCAGTGTACGAGCGTTCTAAGATAACTCTCCAGCCAGGACACAGCACCTGGCTTAAAAAAACATAATACATATTAACATAATACATATTACATATTAATACATATTAAAGGTTTAAACTCGTCTTGGTTAGGTTGGGTGTGCAACTCATAAATTCACTCAATAGTGGCATCGCTTTGTGTGATGTAAATGGACAAACCTTCCTATGTAAATGAAGTACAGTAGACCCCCTCTTATCCGGACTCCTCGGGACCGAGGCCAGTCCGGATAACGGGTTTTCCGGTTAAACCGCCGTTCCCCAAAACTCGGTAAAACGGACCATTTAAATGCATACTGTATAAGACGATAATGATTATTACATATTTAGACATGTGATGGTCTTTAATCTTTCCTACAAGAACTGTCGTTTCAGTACCGCCCATTTCCTGCTGATCCAGTCCGGTTAAACCGATGTGCTGATAAAAATTGTCCGGGTAAAGAGATGTCATTTCCACCGAGTGTAGTCCGGTTGAACCGATGTCCGGTTAAAAGGTGTCCAGATAAGAGGGAGTCTATTGTACTGGTGTATGGCTTAAGTAGAAGTTGAAAAGATGAATGGTTTCTTTTTGAACATATTTTGTAATTTAAGACTGTTTTCTATTATTGTTAGCGAATTTCCCATATAGGGAATAAGCTATTACTGTAGGTCTCATGGTAAGACCTAGACCCGGGACCGATTTACTTTTTCGTTTTGAGGTTTCCAGAGCACAAAAACACCATCCATTCAAATTCATATATATATGTTATACAAAACAGATATAATTAAGAAATAAAAAAAAAACACAGTGTATAGAGGCCTTAAATACAGGCCTATAAACTTTTTACCAAAAGATATAAAAAGTGAATGTAATAGTAGGAAATTTACTTTAAACTAAAGAAATTCCTAGAAGAAAAAGCAATTTACTCCTTTGAGGAATTTTACAATTTAAAATATTGTGAATAGACAATAAGTGATTCACTGACTCTATTCATTGTACTTGTACATTTATGAATAAAGGGGATTTTGACTAGATTTTATTTGTTTTGATTTTGATTTGTTGTTTTGTTTACATTTACGTTATTTTTTAACCATCATGGCAACCCATAAAAGCAAATGTTAAAATTTAAAAACTTCGACTTACTTTTAAATTATATAGGTATTATCAAAAATTGAAGTGGTTTTGTCCTAAACCTTCCAAACAATTGTCGAAACAACCTTGGTAAGTTTGGTAAAATATGTTCAGCCGTTACTGAGTGATAGTGTTAGAAAGTTTGCATTGAAGTCGATCCCAAAGAGCTTTCCTATAAGTCTTTTAGTCTAAAAGTTATTACCCAAGTCGTAAAAGTTATTAGGACCAATTCCTACAAAAAAATGGTTAAAAAAATAACTAATAATGAAGGTCTTTTTAAGCTTTTTACAATTTGAGTCATATTTTTTTTTTAAGTATATGTTTTCTGTTCATGTGTTTTCAAACTATACTCTGAACATTTTGTACCCACTCTAGGCCTATGTAGTACGGCATCTTTATTTTAAAACTTCAAATTAGGTTTATATAATTTTAAATTATATTACTAATTTACATAATATCTTCTAATTTTAATAATATCTTCAGTTGAATAAAAATGTGTAAAAACGACAGTTTGTTTTTCCAGTAGAAATCAAAATAGCTTCACCCATCTTCTATCTTAATATTTAATATGTATTTTGTTTAAACAAATTTCATCTCCAGTGATTGCAGAACATGTTTTATAATGCTATGTAATATCGCCTAACATACAAAATATATTGAAAATTCCGCATTTCCTGCACTTCACTCCATTGTCTTTAGGAGTTGTGTGGGCCGTACATTCGTGATGGTAATTATACCTATTACAGCTACTTCGGTCGATTAACACTAATTCGTATTTTCATAGGGCATACCCACCTGATGTGATGTGTAGCATTAAATGGGCCACTGTTACTGTAATTACTCAAGTGGAACATATTGTGAATTGTTCACTCGTGCGTGTTAAAAACAACAGATGAAATGGAGGACTTTTTAAATATGTGAAGAATAGCACAAATTAAAAAATTGCCAAGATGGTAAAATGTGTCATTCACTATTAATTGACCCATTTTTACTTTCTACCCCATAGTATATGGAGAAAGTATTGTTTCCGTCAAATTTTTCAAGTTTGAGTTTTGAGTTTGAGTGGTTTATCCGTTTTGGGCCCCCCTTAACCTAAAAAAGTGGTTTCCAAAGTGATGTCTGTCCATGTGTGTGTCTGTCTGTCTGTCCGTATGTGTGGATGTGTACAGAGCTACTGACCACACCTGTCGTCCGATTTTGATTAAATTTTGGTACTTAAGTACTAATCCATGGTATCTTCAGGCTTTTTTTTTAATCTTTTTGGAAATTTTGATTTTCCCATAAAAAAAAGTAACGGAAAAATATAAGTTTCTCGGAAATGGCATGAACAATTTTCATGAAAATTTATCATGTTGTAGCCCTTTAAATTCTGAACATATTGGTAGAACTCCTTCCTGTAAAAATTACGGGTCAAAAGTGATTGTAACTTATGTTATCCCAGATAAAATAGGAGGAAAATGGATTTTTTACTAATCAATTTTGTATTTACGGTCATTAAAATATATATTTTTTATTTTTCCCTCATTGAATTTGTCAGGTTAGCAAGGGCTTAAGTAGTTTTCTTGCTGTGTAAAAATAAGACCGTTATTTTGGCTTCGGAAAACCATATAAAAAAGCACACAGGTGCTTCCTGGAGGTAGTTAGAGTAGAGTTGATAAATGGTTAATGGTGTTACCCTGAAGTATTCAAGAAGTATTAACTACAGTATCAGGACATTTGCAAAAGAGCCAATTGCATTGTTCATTGTGCTGTATTGTATTGTCCATTAAGACTATGTATTTTTTGTGTATTTTCCTACTACTAGTCATGAAAGGATTTCCTGTTAGTGTACATTCCCGAACACATCACTGTTCCTGATTTTGGTAATCCTTAATAATACTAATGTGTTTTCATAATACTTTCAAAACGCCTCTAAGTGGAAAATAACATAAACACACCTTAAACGGTTTCTAAACAACAATAATTATTAAGCTTTAGTGACAAGGTTTTTAGTTTTCTTCATTATTATTCCAGAGAGGAAATTATATGGCTAATAACTCTACAAAATTCCTATCTATATTTTAAAATTTATTATTGTTTGCACCCGTCATATATTATGTACATGACACGAATAAAGGACTTTTGATCATTGATCATGAAAGTGTTGAGTTATAAAGACATTCAAGATGCTAAATGCAGTATGTTTTCTTTTATGCCATTTTTATTAGGAATTTATTTCTGTAAATAGCATTTTAGTAGACATAAAAGGTGGAAAAAAAGGCCCAGGACAGTAAAATATTTCAAAAAATAATAAAGATAAAAATAGAGCTTCTAAACTTGGTACACAGTTACTGGGAATTAAAAAATCATTGGGTGATAACCTACTTCCCCAGAAAGACTTATAAATCAGAAGAAAAGGGTAGGAGTCAGAAGAAATAATTAAATGTAATCATAGATTCACATGCACATCAAATTTGAGTTATTTGTTAGTGAAATACAACTATGCAAACCTAAACAAACAACCAAGTAAAAAAAGACAGCTGTCCAAAGATTTCTTGAATCTTCCATTTTGAATCTTTGAACGGCTGCCTTTTCAACTCATTTGTTGTTTTAAAAGCTCAAATTTGCGGCATTGTATTCTAGAAAAGTGATTTTAATGCCTAGTAACTTTGTACCAAGTTTTGTAGCATCTTGATGATTATCCTCTTGATCGTGTCTTGATGCATAATCGTTTGTCTTTCTCTGAGTCCTCCTGTTGTATTTCCTATTTTCTTGAGACTATTATTTTTTTTTCTGTTACAGGCCCCACAACCACTTGCTGTGATGATGCTCAGTTGGTATCTTTTGACCGTGGTGTTAACATGGCTGCAAATTTCCTAGCTAGATGCCCCTCTTGCTGGCACAACTTTTTGTCGTATTTCTGTCACTTCACTTGTGCCCCGGATCAGAGCAGATTTGTTAACGTTACTGAGTTAGGTGTTGTAGGTAAAGGTATGTTATCGGATGAATAGGTTTTACTTCAATATTGTAAGTTAAGTCATTTTTATTTAATGATCCCCGTTTTGGAGTGAGGTTTTTTCCAGGATCTTATTGAAATTTTTTTTATTGTGTGTGGCTTTGAACACAGAAATAGCATTTACAATTTCTTTGATGAATATAGGCCTACTCACAGTCTTGTTGCTTTCAAAGATGATCCTGACAATATAAAAACAGTTACCAACAAAACAACCACAGCTTTGGAAATTAAAGCTTCCGTAATCAGGTTGAATTTATAAAGTGTGTTTCTGTTTACAGGTTTACATTTAAAACAATAACATATAATCAAATAAAATAATCGTTATTCAAGCTGTACATACATACATAAGTAGAGTCACAGATACAAAAAACACAAACAGATTTGGACGTCTGTAATTTTTTTCTTTGGGGTCTTGTTAAATTTTCTGGTGGATTTTAATGACGCAACTTACCGGCAAGTGGTGACAATTTACGATGATTTGGGGGTGTGTGATTTTTTCTTTGGGATTTTGTTTCTACACTCACAAACCCTGAACCCTGGTGGATTTTAATGACGCTATTTACCATCAAGTGGTGACAATTTATGGTGACTGCGATATTCTAGGCATATAATTTAATTTAAGAATTTAAGATAATAATTTAAACCTGTATGAATGAAAGTAGACACCTCATGACTGACATTGTTTTTCCAAAAGTAGATAGTATCTGACAAATGTAGCCAATTATGTTTAGTAAATAGTGTATTTCTTAAATGGCAAAACTTTACAACAAATTTAATGTAATACAAGCTATAACTGACACATAAACAAATAAAAAATGCTTATTTGAAAAACGTCCGGTTTTTATCAGTCACCCTAAAACAAAAATATTATCGTATATAGATATCAGTATTAAAAAACTGTACAATAGTTATTTGTGTAACTAGTGTGTGAAGTGGCACTTTTGCACTCGTGTTACAAATTATATTTTTCCTACAGTTACTATAAATCATATAAATAATTAGTCTTTTTAAACACTGTACAACATGTTAGTTTAGGCTAAATCCAAGCGTTAAACAAAATTCTAAACACTGCACCAGCTGATCGTAGTCGTAGTATCTTTATGCCAACTTTTTTCCAAGCGTACACATATTACGTGCCTAATAAAAGCACACTGTTTTGTTGTTTGATTGGAAATACTGGCGTGCAGCAAAAAAAAAATATTGCTGCAAAAACCAATGAGTGCTGCAAAAGTAAGTTAATACAGCTATTAGCTACTTTGCGTGCTATAATCAGTGCAAGGGAGCCAACTTTGTCAAGGAACTGTGGAAAAATAATATTTCTGCATTCAATTTGAGCAGGTATGAACTTGAGGATACTTCTTTGTGACAGTTGTCTCGCATGTTTCAACTCGTTGGTTTGCTCAGGTATTACGACAGTGGAGGGGCTGGAGGTGTATGTGTCCGACACCTACTTGTGGCGGACTTACAACGCGTGCAAGGAAGTTTCGGTGCCGTCCACCAATCAACTGGCTCTGGACATCATGTGTGGCCAATGGGGAGCCAGCCGCTGCTCACCTTACAAGTGAGTTGCTTGTAGAGAAACATTTCTTAACAGTTTTCAGAGAAATTTTTCAAAAAATGTTAATTTAAAGTTTAAATAACTCACTACATTTTTCCGTGATACTAGGGATGCTGGTAATGACTTGGTGCTTTAAAATAATAGTAATTTAGAAGGTTTATTTCTTTGACCATGATTTGGTTTCCAATCTAATTTATCTTTCAACATTTGTCAATGAATATTTTACGTTCTTTGTAGACAGAGTTGATTATGCGTTGATAATAGACGTCAACATCCTAGGCAGATTATCTTGAAACGACGTAGTAGAAATAACTTATGTGCCATTTTTATAGTAGTATAGTTAGCTTTTTACTAATGAAGGATTTTTTTAAAATTTATACGTCTAAGGTATGCTTACATTGGCAAAAAAATGAAAACTGAAACTGACATTAAATAGTCATTGCACTGGAGATGTAATATAATACATTACAGTAATTTACAAAACAGTGTTGACAATTTTTCACAATAACTATAAAAATACATAAAATACAGACACATTTGTACCATTGTAGTGTATTTCTGTTATTATAAACAATTTCAAGGATATCATATGATTGTTGCAGATGGTTTTCTTATATGTTTGACCCGAACTTGAACTCCTATGTGCCTTTAAAAGTTGCCTTCGTGCCTGTCACTTCTGACCAAGAGTTGGTGGATGGATTCTCACCACTGGAGCCTGAAACGTTTACCTGTGATGTTCCAGTCAATGTGAGTTTTTTTTTCTCTCATGGGGCTGGGGTATCATTACCCCTTGCTACCTCGACCTACAAGATCTTTTGTAGCACCCTTTTTAATTAGTCACCCAACCGAAGTCTTCTTGCGAAGCCAATCAGTTGGTGCACACCCATTTCTCGTATTTCAGTAGGCATCGGGAATGCCTTTCCTAGGTGTTTCAACCTTTTCTGGGCTATCGCCGGACATTCCAGCCATATGTGCTCAGCGGATTCCGTGTCGTAGAGGCAGAATCTGCACTGGTCTGTCTGTCTAAGCCCTATTGTCTTAAGGTACTTCCTTACATAGCCATGCCCTGTAAGTAGACCTATCAAGAGACTTATTTCTCCTTTCTGGAGTTCGAATATGTATCTCCATTCCTTACTAAGAGGATTGATGTGAGTTAACTTTCAATTACTTTAGAAATTAAGTTTTCAAAAGCTCGTATCGGTTTGAATACACCTACTATTATTACATTGAACCGCTCTGGTAATTCGGTTATTCTTCCTCACGATTGATGCACCGAATAATGATGTAGCAGCTTTTGTTTATGTAATGCATGACATTTTGTAGCATTACTGTTTGCAGAACGGAGCATTATTTTTCAGAAAATTAAGTTGACAACTTTCTACAGAAATATTTTTTCCAAAAACATATTTTATCCAACTGTACGTTGTTCATTATATGAATTAGATCAAATACATGACACACAAACCTTGCTAGGTTCAATTATTAAGTAAGTAAAAGGAATTTTAGCTTTTAGTTTAAAATCTTTACTTAAAACGACTCTCCAAAATGAGCTGTAATATTTCCTGTCACAGACATTTTTTCCCTTAGCCAGACATGCAGGTCGATCTTGTTCAGGTGATTTAAAAATCCCTTAAAAACCTCAAAATACCTTATGTCTGGTAGAGGTTCAAATGTCTGTCTAGAGTTATATAATGATATTTTCACCCCATTTAATTCTACCCTCTCTTTTAGCGAATTTCCCACATAGGGAATAAGGTATTACCCTCATAATTTACTCATGGTAAGAATTGGTCCTGGGATCAATTTACTTTTTCGTTTTAAGGTCTCTAAAGGCCAAAAACACCATCCGTTCAAATTCATTTATGTCCGTTAGCACGATAACTCAAGCAAAAATGATCCGATTTTGATAAAATTTGGTATAAACGTGTAAACCCACATTTATTTGAATGAGTTCGCGAACCGGCATAATCAAACTCTGGGGGTTTATGGGGGGATTTATGGGGTAAAAATTGGTTTTACCCATTTTTGACCCGAAAAAAATAAAATTTAGCAATTTCTTTCCAAACCATTTTGTAGAGCTTAAAAAAACAAATAATTTAGTATGTTGAACCATTATTATGCGCCAAACGGTTACGGAGAAAATTCCAAAAAAATTAAAAATGTAAACATCTCATGTTATTTATATGGAAAATAAGTAAACTGTTGTAGTTTGCTTATTTATGAACATATTTTTATCACATTTGGAAAATGCATTAATATTTTACTAAACTATTGACATTTGACAAAAAATACTTTTTTACCCCCCTGTTGCAGCAAACCTAAGTACTCTTTAAACTAATTATATTTAATAAGGAATAAATGTGATATTTTAGTGTAAATCCGATCAGGCAAATGGAAATTCCCTTAATCTGCAGGTTTGCTGCGGCAGGGGTATTTTTATCCTACCACATTTTTACCTATCATATTTTTATGCACAGCATATCAACACTCTCCTCAACCAACACTCCCAAGCAAGACCTAGCAGCAAGAATGTATAGATTCAAGCGATTGAGAAAAGTCTGAAATTTTGACATAGCAAAGGGTGAAAGCAGTGCATTCACTCTTATTGAATTTCAAAATAATTCAATTTCCAACTGACAAACAAATCAATAATGTATAAGCATTTCATATGTCTAGCAGGTGTCCTGTTCGAGGTCAAAATCAATCAGGGTGTTATGTTTGATTATTTTTTAAATAATTTTGCTTGTTGGTAGATATTTTACGGATGGAAAGAAATTAGGCCAACCAGTAATTAAAGTGTAAAATTTTATACTTTTAAAAAATAACAGCTAATAGCCTATGAGTAAGCATCCATTCAAACATCACATCGGTGATTTTTTACATCATTGGGTCAATTAACATAAACGATTGTGCGGGTAAAGTTAATGTTTCCGAGATCGCAGTAGTTGATTATGATGTCGCCATAATCGCAATTGCTGCTTTCAGATTTTGCCACAGTCGCTATTCAAAAATTAACAAAACTCCAAATTTTGGTTTTAGCCAAATTTCAAACTTTATAAATTTTTACTAAAATGAAGGTAAATAAATTATGTAATATTTGTAGCACCAATCAGAAGACCAGATTGTATTCCATTAAATTTCTAATAGTTTAATTTACCAATAGTTTTAATTTAGTTTAATTTATTAGTTTTAATTTAGTTTAGTTTAATTTTTATCTTGATGCTGGTGTTGTAGCAGCTACATTGGTTAAAAAGACTAATTTTACAGAAATGTTGATGTAAACATACATACAGGATACAAATGATAATAATTAATATTGGACAATTATGTGCTCAAGAATGAGCAGGGGCCCTATTTTTGAAATGGTTGACTGTTGAGTTGAGTGTCGAGTCATTCTATTTCCAATCGTTTCGTATTTTTGAAACGATTGACGGTGGACTTATACAACCAAAACTACTCAACACCTATCGAGCTGTTGAGTGGCGGTTGACTGCACTTTCTTCTTCCTCTCTTTCGGCAAAAAATTACTCTTTTTGAGTCGACGCCATATTGTTTTGTTATTGCTTTAATTAACTAATTGCGATTTAGAGGTTATGTATTTGTCGTCAATGTCTTAGCACCCAATACTTTATGCGATTGTTAATTTTATTTACTGTGTTAATACTAGACTATTTAATCTATTTACTTTGTTATAAGACTATTTAATTTGTTTGAAATACACTAGGCATACTAATTGAACTTATTAAAAGATAATTATTGTTATTAGACCTATGATTTAAGGTATTAAGGTGTAACGAGTCAAATGGGTAGGGGGGTAAAAATATAACGATCTAGACCACGAACATTAAACAGCTAAACATAAGCTGTTGAGTAAGCCTAGTCGCGACACTAAACTGACGTCGTACCTAACCTCCAATTCCAAGACCGCAGACGACGTTGGTGTCAGTTTGGTTGTTTGGCTGTTCGACTGCATCTGAGGCCGGGCTACGGGAGAGAAGATGAGCAGCGAGGTCACCTTTGAGCGGTACGCGGCTGTAAGCCTGTTAAAGCTACCATGCGCCTGCCTTCGCTGCCAGTTTTTTTTTTTTGTTTCGGTAACTCGTTGACCAATCAGGAATCGTTTTAACTTTCGTCTCGATTCTGAGACGAAGGTGAAGTAAGAAGAAGTTTTGTGAAGTTTTTCGTCATTCGTAATCCCGGCTTTTGGTAAGTTTGTTTCGTTTTTGGTTCGCTCTCGAAAATTCGTGCAAGTTTAAGTTCGTATCGCAAGCTCTGAAAGCTTAAGTTCGTACGTATTGTTTCGTAGTGAATATTTTGATATAATTTCGTCATCGGGTAAGTTTTGTAACTAACTTACAGATTATTGTATATTATTTGACCAGTTTTCGTGTACTTAACTTGGTTGAACTTGAAGGCTAGGCCTGATTCGCAGACCTAGTCATACGCCTTAACCAACAATTTGAGTAAAGTACTGCAGTTGGTGAAATATATTTTCAATTACGTTTCATAATCCGTCTTGGGACTTTCTTTTTTAATTCTGAAAACCCCTTTTTTAAAGTTCCCCAGACGTACCAAAGTCTGTTCCAGCAGACAGGTTTCTGCTGGACAAGTTCTGTCGAAGTTGGTCTAAGTTGAACACGTGAGGAAGTTAAAGTTTTAGTTTTTCGTTTTTGGCTCAAGGAGCAGTTTCACCTTTTTAGTTTCGTTTTTTTTGTTCGTTCCTCACCTGGACCACTTAGGCTAACTTGTTTTCTTATCATTTTAGTAAATTCAGACTCTGTGGGAGTTAGGCTAGGTTAGGCCTATCTTGTACTAACCTTGTTTGTTTCAGGGTGACGACGTAACTCCGTAGGTAAGCGGAGTGCCTACTTAGCTTACTTGTTGATTTGTTAAGTTAGCTAGTAGTGTGTCATTTAGATATCTGCCCACAGAGTCAAGTGAAAATTATTTATTTCCCCACAAGCCCTAGGCTAGAGTGGTGATTTCGAGTAGGGTGTTTAGTAACCCGCAACGTTCGTCTCGAGCTCTGACAACCAGGGCTATCAAAGTTAGGCTATCCGAATCACTATCGACTCCTGGGAAACTCCCCGCGACCAGACTAGGGCGAATCCTGGGATCTCGTTTTCTTACCGGTGGCGTAATTTACCTCTTGTCGTCCGCCAGGAAAATTACGTCACATAAATGGCGCCCGAAGCAGTTGGACCAGTGATTGGATAGTCTGATAGTACTTGGTGAGCTCAAGCTAAGATCGCTGTAGCAGCTGACGTCGAGCTGTAAGATTTTAGCCTACGTTAACCGCTCTAGCCTATCAAGTGTTTGCCTAGGCCTACTGTTATTTTTTATTCTACGTTACCGTTCTAGCCTAGCATTTCTAGTTTAGTAGGTAGCTTAGGCCTACATATTTTCTAGTTTCGTCGTTGTAGCCTATTGCTAGCCTAAGCCTATTGGTGTTTAGCGTTAAATATTTTAGCCTATTTGTGTGATAGCCTATTTATTTTAGGTAAAACGTTTACTTTATAGTAGCCTATTGCATTTTAGCCTTTTTATTATTGGATTTTGGAGCAGTTTGGACTTGGTCCTATTTTAACAAATTTTCTGGGTTTTGAGTACCTAGTTGGGACTTAGGCTATAAAAAAAAAAAAAAAAAAAAATTTTTTTTTTTTAAAGTTGTCTTGTTTGGACTTATTTAGTGCTGTTTAACGTTAGGCCTGAATTTAAATAGGCCTATTGTGGATTTTCATAATTGT